CTTAGGGAAATAGTTTCCAGATTTGGATTTCCTACCAGCATTGGATCAGACAATGGCCCAGCTTTTTAACTGATTTAGTACAACAAGTAAGCAAAACTTAAACATCAAATGGAAACTGCACGCTGCATATAGACCTAGAGTTCTGAGATGGTGGACTGAACCAACCGGACACTTAAAGAGACTCTCCAAGTGGATCAGAGAGACTGACCGCTCCTGGGTGGACTTGCTTCCGACAGCTCTGCTCAGGCTCAGGATGACCCCACAGTCCCAAGGCTATTCTCCATACAAAATTGTGTATAGGAGGCCCCCTCCCATAATAAAACAGGTGTCAACAAATCTGTCTCAGGTAAGGGGGGATAGGATTTTGCAGCAGATGGAACTGGGTAAGGTAATAAATCGGGTAACTAAGTTTGTACAAGAAAGGGTGCCATTCCCCTTTGGGGAACAGATTCATGAGTTTATACTTGGTGACCAAGTATGGGTCAAAGACTGGACACTTGACTTACTAGCCCCTTGGTGGAAGGGCCCTTATACTGTTATTCTAACTACCCCTACTGCAGTTCAAGTTGCAGGTATTGTCCCTTGGATCCACCATACAAGGGTGAAGAGAGCATACCACGCAGACCCAGGAAACGCTGAGTGGACTACACAGAGGGACCCTGCTGACCCTCGAGAGACTAAGACCATCCTTAAGAAGAAGGAAAAGAAGATCCCGGACCAGCCCCTTGAGGATGAAGCCGCATAATCAACTCCTGCTGCTTTGGTCTCATCAACGTGCACATTCCTACGCCAACTTCCACAATATCTCCAACTGTTGGGTTTGTGGGGCTATGCCTCTGTCTGTGATGGATGGACTTCCCTGGGGGCTGTCACCGCTCCACCAAGGAGATTTTAAACCACTCTGCTCTTTTCTGGGACACAATCATAATCTCTCCCTGTTCTCTGGGTATAAGCCAGACCTACAGTCAATAGACTCAGGTCATAGGGTTACATTTGATATAAATGCCAGTGTAACAAAAGCCTAACCTACAACAAGCCCCAGCAAATCTACCTTATTTACATGCTAGGTGGGCAAGATCTGTGTTTCAATGGTATGAGTATATTGCTGCCTTATTCGTACCCTCTATAGGGACAACAGATATTATGATTAAAGTAAAGGTCTTGACTAATTTCACAAAACAGGCCCTCCTAGATAGAACAAAAGCCTTCCAAACCTTATAGAATGGCTTTGGACATATTCACAGCGGCTCAAGGAGGGACCTGTGCCATAATTAAGGTTGAATGTTGTGTATGCATTCCTGACTTACCTGGCAATGTATCAACTGCTTTAGATGACATGAAAAAACAGGTAAAAGCAATGTCAAATGAAAACATTCCTTTCTGGACTTCAGTCCTATCTTGAGTGAAGGGCGATTGGTGGAAAACTGTATTTACCATTGTTATAGTTGCCTTGATAGTTCTGCTTTGTGAACCCTGAATTTTACAATGTATTATGAACTTTGTAACCCGAAGGTTGATGTCATTCTCCCAAATTGGAGGTCGGAGAGCCAGGGTGCAATATATCCCTGTGAATGATGCTCATAATATGAGTTAAGAACATCACGAGGGGAGAAAGAAGGAGGAAACAGACAGAGCCGGACTCCATCTTAGGCCAGGCTGTGAACATCAGGCTACACGCATGGTCACCCTCCCAGTAGACTCTGAACTTTGGGCCCGGTGTCTATAGAAATGGCATACCAATGGAAAACCAGACCCCCCGGATAAAAGAGCCTCAGGACTTGTACTTGGACGATCCGTTGCCTAAAAGAATATGCTAATTATCTCTGTAACAGAACAAAGTGGTATATTCCATTATGTTTATCAGGATATGACCACAGGCCTATTGATAAGTATCCACTGTTTATCTAGTCTTGTGACACATGAATCATGGGTTAACTTTGATCGAATCTCTCTTTTACCTTGTCCAGAATAGTTTCAAGGAATTTGGGGAGGTGGGTTTGAGCAAGTACACTTAGGGTATATAAGGTTTTCCCAAAAACTGGTCGGGGTCCTTGGCTAAGAGGAGACTCTGCCTTGGGCCCGCAGGTGTAATAAACTGCACTCCACTATCTGCATTGTCCTTCTGAGTGAGTTTGTTTCCCGGAACGCGTGGCGACAACACCACAACTAATGAGCACGTGCTCTAGAGTCCGGGAGCCGCAATTTCTGAAGCCCTCACGCACGAGAGCGCTGATGCTCTTCAACAAGAGAAGCCACCGCAGTGAGAAGCCAGCGCACCGCCAACTGGAGAGTGACCCCAGCTCGCCACTACTAGAGAAAAGCCCATGCAGCAACAAAGATCCAGCACAGACAAAAGTGTTAAAAAAAAGAAAAAACAGAAAACTAAAGCATTTGATTAAAGCAATTTCTTTAAAAAAATAAATGCTAACAAACAGAACAAAACAAGTAACAAAAACCACTAACCTTTTCCTTGCAACTGACTGTGGGTTCCCTCAAGAGGGAAAAAAAAGGTGATGGGGGGCAATGGGGGAGCTTGCTACTTGGAAGCAGGCATTGAAGAGTCAGGCCCAGGCCCTAATGACGATCTAGGGTGTCTCGTTTAATAGTCACACTGGTTTCACAAAGGAGGTAACATTATTATTCTCATTTATTACATGGAGAAACCAACACTTAGATGCTAAATTAAGTAACTTGTCCAAGGTCACAAAGTCAGTGTGTCCAAGGTGGCCCCGACACTGTCGGCTGCCTGGTTGACAAAAGGAAAGAATCCACGCCCCACCCATGCCAGTGGCCGAGGTGGAGCTGTCCCCTCCTTCCCACTGGGAGCTGAATCTTCCCTGAGGTTGGCCAGAGTCAGGGCCATGCCTTGAGGCATGGGGGGCAGAAAAGCAGAGGCCTCCCACTCAGGTTGCCCTTGAGAAATCTGTGATCTGCCTGCGGCATACCAGCTGTCACAGCTCAGGGGTGGAAGCCAAGCCTCCCCCACTTCATGGGGCTCACCCGCCTCCAGGCTGTGACCTTCCTGCAGCTCGCTCTTCCCAGGACTTTGTCCCCAGGTCCCCTGCAGGGTCACTGTCAACAAACATTGAGCTCAGCCCTGTGCCAGGGACTAAAGAGGCAAAGATGAGGCCACTGCCCTGGGTCCCAGGGGACGAGATGAGGTGCAGCCATTAGGCTGCCGGGGTCCTTCCAGGAGGGTCCCGCGCTGTGGTTCAGCTGGAGCCCTCCATCTGGGGAGCCTGGGAAGACTCCACCTTCTCAGCCGCCCCCAGGCCCCTGGGGCTCAGTGTAGCTTTGACAGAGCCGACATGATAGCACAACATGCCTGGTTCCTCCCCTACTTGTGATTACAAACTTGGCGGGGGGGGGCGTCTGACCCTGGCTCGAGGGTTGGGTCTGTACCTTAGAGTCTGGCTGAGACCAACGCTCAGGGGTCCCTGGGAAGAAGAGTGTCTTGAAATGGACCCTGAGGACCCATTGGTTCCCCTTGTCCTTTTTAAAAAGTATATTTCTTTATTTTTATTTATTTGGCTATGCTGGGTCTTCGGTGCAGCATGTGGGACCTAGATCGCTGACCGGGGATCAAACCCAGGAGCATGCATTGGGAAACCTGCATTGGCATCTTACCCACTGGACCAGAAGCACCCCCTTCTCCTTTGCATTTTAGAAATGTGTGCAGGGATTTCCCTGGTGATCCAGTGGGTAGGACTTGGCGCTCCAAGTGCAGGGGGCCCAGGTTCAATCCCTAGTTGGGAAACTAGATCCCACATGCTGCAATGAAGATCAAAGATCCCGAGTGCCACAACTAAGACCTGGAGCCAAATAAATAAATATTTTAAAAAAATAAAAAATTAAGGAATTTCCCTCCCTTTAAGGAAAAAAAAAAAAAACAGAAATGTGTGCAGGTGGGAGAGGTGGGTTTGGGGAGGATGAAGGCAATGGAGGGTGCTAGACAAACAATGCTTCCTCTCATCTAACTCATGCACTATAATTTTATAAAATGTCCTGTGTACAGTTATGTAAAGTTATATAACTTTATTAAAAGTTAGTAATTGAGGGACTTCCCTGGTGGTCCAGTGGTTAAGACTTTGAGCTTCCAAGCAGGCGGTGAGGGCTGCAGCCCTGCTTGGAAAACTAAGATCCAACCTGCTTCGTGGTACAGCCAGTAAACAAATAAAAGGTCTTTTTTAAAAAAGTTAATAATTGAGTTAATTGGTCACAGTAACCAGTTCCTGGTAGAAAAGGACAGTGTCTGGTACCAGCTTTCACATTTGCTCATAAGGGACCCAGGGCCCATGGTGGGGGGTCACCTGGAAGGGAAGGAAGAAGGGGCACTCAGAGCATCAGAGACATGAGACTGGTCCAGAGAGAAGGGGAACCGGGCCAGACACCTTTGCCTTCCTGACCACGCCCACAGGCTGAGGCAGGCTGGGGAGATGGTGGAAGAAGCGGGGCAAGAGTCAGGAGAGAGGAGGGGCCCTCTCAGTACAGACCCGGGGAAGCAGAGGGCTTCGAGGAGGCTCCACCATCGCCAGGTGTCAGGAGGTGGGGGCTGCTGTGGAACTGGGGTGCTGGGGCAGACACCAGGCCCCTGCTCCCCCTGCCTCTGTCCGTGGCTCACATCCCAAACCCCAACTGCAAAACCAGGACGCCCGAGGGTTGCAGCCAGGCCCTGCCAGCCGCAGGAGTCCTGGGGGGAGGAAGAAGGTCCGCCCTCCTGAACCAGTGCTGCAGAGAAGAGAGCCACCCCCAGGATAAACCGGTGCTCGTCCACGGCCTCACCTGAGCACTGGTCATTCCTCATGCAGCCCTCTCCCCTCTCAAGGGCCTGGGGTCGTGCACACACGCAGACACACACAGACTGTAGTGTAGGCAGGCAACACGCTTGGGCCCATGTGCCAACAGCCGCAGCTGCTGACCCTCCAGGGCTCACAGGGCTGTGCACGCCTGGATTCTCACACCAAAGCCCTGCAGCGGCTCCCACCCAGGCCCAGGCTCACCTCCACAAAGAAAAGTGTCCAGACCTTGCTCCAGCCTCTGGACTCGGTGAGGGCGCCGTGAGTGGCCAGGTGGCTGCCCTTGACGGTCAGCGTGTAGTGGCACACCCCGAGGATGGTGATGCCCAGGGCAAAGACCAGGGGACTGTCAGAGCGCAGGCACAGGAACCCTGCACGGGGAAGAGAGGGTTGGCTGCAAGCAGAAGAGCGGTAAGGGCGGCGGATCTTTCTCTGGTTCTTGGAGATCTGGGCCCAAATGCCCCAGCCTGCACCCCTGGAAGCCCGGGCCAAAGAGGGCCCAGCCCTGGGGACTGACACAGACAGCGGTGTGGCAGGTTCCACGAAGGCCCGAGCGGGATGGCTTGGCTCCCTCTAAAGGCTCTGAGACAAGACAGAGCCCCACTGACACCGAAGAGGTCGGGAGTCTTGTTTCTGCGCCCCCGCCAGAGGAGCGGTGGGGAGAGGGCACGGTGGGGGGGCCAGACCAGGCAGGACCAGGGAACACGCCCCTCGCCCCCTCCCCGAGACAGCACCCTCCCCCTCCCCAGGCCATCTCATCCCCCCACCCCCACCCCACCCCCGCCTCTCCCTGACTCGGCTCAACTTTCTCCTCCACTGCCCTTCATCCATCAGGGCACCTCCGGGTACACAAGTCAGGACACCCCAACCAGACTTTCCGGGCTGACCCTCTGTCCTAGGGTCCCGGGCACGCGCCATCTACCCCATCCTGCCACCCTCCCCCACCGTCCAGCGGGCCCCGCAGCCCCCAGTCCCCCGTGTCCCTCACCGGGTGGCAAGGCGAGGAGGCTGAGCGCGAGGATGGCGCAGTCCACGCCGTGGCGCTCCCACCACGAGCTGGCCCTCACCACCTCCTGCACCCGCGCCTCCAGCTCGCCCAGCAGCGCCTCGGCCCCGGCGCTCTCCCGGGGCGCGCCCCCCGCCGGCTCCATGGGCTGCACGCTCGGACTGGGCACCCGCCGAGGACTCGGAGCGTCTGCGGCGCCGGGCGGCAGAGGCGCCGAGCGCGAGCGGGGGCGGGCGGGGCGGAGTCACGCGCGCGGCTGGGGACACCCGCCCCCGGTGTCACGGTGCGCGCCCAGAGACCCGGCCGGCCCGGGGCCACCCTCCTGGCGGGCGGGACCAGAATGGGCGCAGGAGGAGCGCACGGATGCGCGGGGGTGGGGAGGCCACCTGCAGCCAGAAGCAAATCGCCGCGGAGGGGACGCGGGCGCCCGCGGGATGGGGGCGCGAGGACCCCCGTAGAGACCCTCATCCCCCAGGACTTTCCCGACCGCCTGACCTCAAATAACTCCCTTATGTAATTGCGGCGCCGCACCCTGCTCGGGTTTGTGGGACCTTTTTTTTATCCCTGAACTTAAGTATTTTTCCCAGTAGCACTTAGCAGCCGCTCCACACCCGACACGGACATTCGTCCCCTCTCTCCACCCACAGAGGGGACTCTGGTACCGGCAGGCCTCACTTGGCCGCTTTTTCTCCAGTCTTATCTTCAGGACCTAAAACAGTGCCGGGAAAGATGTGTGAATTCATGGGACAGAAAGTTCAAGGCCTCGCTCAAGCCTCCGAGTGATGGTGGTGGGGGGGCGCTCCCCTCTGAATTTGGCTTTAGCAGCGGCACGTGGAGAGCTGTCTCTAGCCCAGAGGGTTTGGGACTGAGAAGGGATTGCTGTAGAGAAAATAGCATTCAGAGCTGACCATCCAGGTGGGGTCGCTCTGCGGTACCGCTCACTCAGGCCACCGCAAAGGGCCCTGGAGACGGCAGCAGCACCCGTCCTGGCCCTTGCCTCGGCCCAGGCCCCAGCCCGCGCTGTGGGAGGCTGGCCTTGGCCCTGGGAGCAAAGCCGCTGTGTTGTGCAAACATCCTCCGCCACTTCTGAGTGTCCTTTCTCTTTTTTCATTCGGAAGTCCTGGCTTCCTATGGAGATCCCTCTAAATGAGGCCTGGAGTGGTGGGGGCGGCAGCTCTGGGGGCAGGAGCCCTTTGGAGGAGGGAGGAGGAGGGAGGAGAAGGGAGAGGGGAAGGCGAGGAGCAGGCGGGGAGGAAACGGAAGAGAAACCGGAAAAGAGTCCGGAACACTTAGGCCTTGGATTCCTTTATCTTCCTTCGCGTTCTCCTTCCTGATTTCTTTTGCGTTCATCCCTCCAACTTTTTTTTTTAATACATATAAAGGCAAGAGTTTCTTTACCAGATCGATATTCTAAAGAGTTTGTAATTTAATAGGCCAACACATACACATCCAAGCAAACACACCTGATTCCTTACAGTTTACCAAGGCTTCGTACTTAACAGGTTTTGTGTAACCCCCACAACTCCCAGAGGATGACGTCATCCCCATTTAATTGATGGAGGCCCAGATCTGCCCACAGCACCCCCGCACAGTTACTAAATTGCAGAACTGGAACTCAAATCCAGGACATCTCCTCCAAGCCCAATCATCTTTTGTTTTTATCAGAGATTCTTAAGACAGAGGCATGGGGTGGGGTGGGTGGGGGGTGCCTTTCCCCCTCCCCATTCCACCTTCATGTTCCTCTTTCTCAGATAGCCTGGAATTTTCAGGGAGGGGGATACCTATAACTTTAAAAAGCATAGTTGCCACTAGTGTGCAACATTATAATTCTATAAGGGCAGAATCCCACTGCTTGTGAACTTTCTGTTACCAAGAAGCCCCTCTCCAGCCTCGTGCACCCTTTGGACATCTAAGCGGTACTCTACGGAGGCAGATGCTGTGTTAAACAGGAGCAGAGGCAGATGTGTATTGACGGAGTTCAGAGGAGCGAAGAATCCCCGTGGGGTGGGGCTGACTGGAGTCTCCTTGGAGAGAGGCAGCCTTAATTTAGAACCCACTTAAAACAAGAAGGTATACTGCAGGTGGAGACGGCCGGGGGAGGGGCTGTGGGTTGGGAGATGGGGGAATAACAAAATCTGAAAGACCTGAATAGACAGCTCACCAAAGAAAAGGTACAAATGGCCAATAAACACAGGAAACGATGCTCTACGTCATTAGTCTCAAGGGAAATGCACGTTAAAATCCCAGTAAGAGAGGGCCCTTCAGATCCAGAGCATAGCTAAAATTAAGTAGCCGGGCAGTGCTAATCCTTGACAAGGGGATGCGAAGTCACGGACCTCTCATTTGTTGTTGAGGAGAGTGCAAAGTGGTGCAAACCCCTTGGAAAACACTTTGACGGTTCCTTTTAAGGTAAATATGCACTTACCCTGCAGTGTGTGCTGAGTTGCTTCAGTCTTGTCCGACTCTGTGCGATCCTATGGTTGTTGCCCGCCAGGCTCCTCTGTCCATTTGATTCTCCAGGAAAGAATACTGGAGTGGTTGCCGTGCCCTCCACCAGGGGATCATCCCAGCCCAGGGATGGAACCCTCGTCTCCTGTGTATCCTGCCTAGCACTTCTTTACCACTGAGACTGAGCCATCCAGGAAGCCCATTGGAGCCTCAGCTTAAAACCATTGGATTCTTTACCACTAGCGCCACCTGGGAAGTTCTATATGCTTAACCTATGACCCAGTAATTCAGCTCCCAGATATTCACCCAGTAGGAATGAAAACGTACCCATATAAAGACCTGAACCTGAACGATCATCGCAGCATTGTTCATTAGAGCCAAGTTGGAAACAGCCTAAATGTCCGCCAACAGGAGAATGGACACGCTAAATATGATACGTTCACACAACCTACGCAATAAAAAGGCATTGGCAGAGGCAAGAGGGTAGATGACCTGATGTAATCTCACAGATATTAGGTGGAGGGTAAGAAGCTGCAATTACTGCGTGATCCCATCAAGAACAAGGGGAGCTAATGTATAGTGATCGAAATCACATCCATCCTTCCCTGGGGAGGGGTGGGTGGGGGACGTTTATTGCAAAGGGACATGAGGAACCTTTCTGGGAGGGTGGAAATGATCCAGATGGTGATTGTGGTGGTGTTTACATGGGTGTGTATACATCTGTCAAAAGTCACTAACCTGCACACTCAACAGGCGTGTGTTTTATTATAGTTAATCAGGCCTCAGTAAAGTCGACCAGGGCAAAAACAAAGCAGCAAAGCAGATTTTGATTCAAAATGGAAAGAGCTGGGGGCTTCCCTGTGGCTCAGTGGCTAAGACTCTGTGCTCCCCATGCAGGGGGCCCGGGTTCAATCCCTGGTCAGGGAACTAATCGGAAAACTAGGATTCCACATGCCACAACTACAGACGCTGTATGCAGCCACTGAGACCCAATGCAGCCAGATACATGAATAAAAGTAATTATTTCCAGATACAAAATACTATACATAAAATAGATCAGCCAAAAGGGATTTACTGTATAGACTAGGGAACTATGGTTAATATCTTGGAATAACCTACAGTGGAAAATAACCAGAACAAAAGAAAAAATATATATATATGCCTGAATCACTTTGCTATGCGCCTGACACTAACACAGTATTGTAAATCAACTATAATTCCATTTTTTATTTTCAAAATCTATAATGGTTTTTTTAATAGGTATAATTCAGATGGTAAATGTCACCCATAAATGTAGCACGCTGAAGTGTGGGAAAGCAGGGTGATTCTGGCATCTGAGGTCCCTTGGCCATGGGGTTGACAACCGAGTGTGTGGAGTGGCTGAGAGGCCGATTTACCAAATTCTTCAGTCCTCTCTGCGAGCTCCTTCCGGGTTCTCAGCCCTGGTCCACTGCCTTCCAGCTCCCAGCAAAGATGAGAAAGATCTGAGAACAAAGCTTGGGGTGAAAGGCTCTGGGTGGTTGGCCAGGCAGGCCTGCTGCCATCAAGACTCTCTGCTTGGATTCTCACAACAGGTCCTGGGGGGGCAGGCCTGGGCAGGCTCCTGGCCCTCTGCCCACAGTGGGATGCTAGGCAGAGACAGCCAGGGCTGGGGGCCGTCTACGCCTCCCGGCCGCTCTGCTCTGCACCAGCCTCTGCTCCCACTCAACCTCTCACCTGTCTGCACAAGACTCGGTGCATGTGATGAGCACAGCTTTGCAGTCTGGCAAGGTTACTAGCTGTGTGACCTTGGGTAAGTTACTCAACCTTTCTGAGCCTTAGTAGCTTCACATACACTAAAACGGAGGGAGATAAATATCAATAGGAGTTTTAATATTTTCTTCCTGTATCCCAGTAGATTGTGTGTACACTCCCACTGTAGAGATGACTAGACCAAAACCTAAAGTCTGAATTACTCAGCTCGGTCTTTGAGGGCGGCCAAGTTCTAGCTCCAACTCTAGTGTCCAAATCTTTGTGACCCCGTGGACTGTAGCCTGGCAGGCTGCCCTGTCCGTGGGATTCTCCAGGCAAGAACACTGGAGTGGGTTGCCACGTCCTCCTCCATGGGATCTTCCCCACCCAGGGATTGAACACGGGTCTCTTACATCTCCTGTATTGGCAGGTGGGTTCTTTAGCACCACCTGAGAAGCCCCAAATAAATAAATATATATATATGTTTTTTTAAAAGGTAGACTTTGTGCTTTTTTTTTTTTTTGACTTTGTGCTTTTTTTAAAAACTTAAAAAACAGATGATAGAGAAGACTCCAGACCCCCAAGGGGCTGGGTGCTCATGGACCTACCTAGGCATCAGTAATAGCATGGGGGGGGTGTGGTGTTAGATGATGCTGGGTTGGGTCTTCCTGGGAGACTCTGGAGTTCCCCACCCTGGGGCAGCGATGAGTCCTCCCTTCTGCCATCCAGATCTTTACTTGCTGGAGTTCATTGGGGTTAATTACTGTTGTGGTTGGGATAGGGTGGCAGAGAGTGTTGCCTGGGACCCAGGGCCTGGAGGGGGAACCCTGAGAGTCAAGGATGGGTTTGGAGGCCTGGAGGGTTGGAACCGGGAGTCTGGGGGGCACAGGGTGGACTAGAAAGCCACCTCCTGCCACCAGGGCAACCTTTCTTGCTCTAAATCTAGGTGAATGGGCCTTTAACCCT